TAATTCAACATGACAGAATCATTTCAGTTTTGTTGAACAATGAGGGTTTATTGTGCGTTTACATGAGTTTCCAACAGTGTAATATGCTGAAAGTAGTCTGCCAAAAAAGTCACTTTCCAGTCAAAATTGTGCACATTTTTATGTATGTTTCTTTAAATTCTTTCCTAATTTTCAACCAAGTGAAGATAATTTTGCATTGACTGTAAGTTTAGGTCAAATTGTTTTGAAAAAAAAAATGGTAAAAATTAACTTTGTTTGTACAAATTGTACATCTTCATGAATAATCAATACCATGACATATTATTCATTTTCTAGAGTATCACAGCGATAGTGTTGAATGTATACGAAGAATGAAAGAACTTGTTGGTTTACTGCGAGATGAAAATAGAGCTGTTTTAAAATATATTATTAGATTTTTAGTAACAGTATCATTACATGAAGGAACAAATAAAATGAACTCACATTCTCTGTCAATAGTATTTGGACCAAATTTATTCAGGTAAGTTATCAATTTTCATCCTCTTAATGACATATTTTTTCCCGCCAAAATTCTGGTTGCAACAATTTGTACATTTTTATGCCTTTTTTCTAGAAATTTTTTAGCAAATTTTGGACCATATGGGCATATGACCATATGAATTTCACATAAGCTAAAAGTCTTGGTAACATTTTTTAATTTCTGTAATTTCTTAGCTTATTTGTGATCGTATGGAAATAATTTCTCATTAGCTACCGGTACTAGTCTTGGGCCAATTTTTAAAAAAATATAACAGTTTTGCAGGTTTATTTTGTGAAAAGTTAACTTTGGAATTCAAAGAGTTAATGTGAACAGCAAAACATGGAACTATTTTGTGGAAAAAGACAATTATGGTGAAAAGTTTGATATTATGCAAATTACCTATTTAAGGTAGCAGAATAGTTTTTTGGGCACTTTTCACATTTTTTTTTGAAAATCACACGAATAGCTCCCTGATGTTTTTATTTTATTGAAAAAAAAATATCTTGTACAAGTAAAAACTGATTTTTTTTCCTTGTGTGCAAACAAATGGCCATGTTTTTGTTTATCCAGTGTACACCAAACTAGTGCATCTCATTATATGCATGGTTTACAAACATAACTGAACTGAGGGTAAATAGTTTTAAGTTGGGCCACTTTCTTTACTTGCTATTTATATGTTAACAGAATAAAAACTTACAATAAATTTCTGTAATATTTTTTCTTGGCTTTGTCATTGAAAGGTGTCTGACCATAAGGTTACTTTCTTAGTCCAGAAGTAATACAGCTACATTGGGAGGGGGCTCCCTTTTACAAAATACGGTTGCAAACAATAAAATACGGTCATCTGTGGTGGCTATGCATTGCATGAAAATTCTGATAACTGGCCACAAACTACATGTAAAGGTTGAT